ATATATATATATATATATATACCACACTCCCATATATATACCACACTCCCATTGTCCCATATACCAAATGTGGTTTTGTCAACGTTTCGGCTTGCAGACCAGCCGTCGTCGGCTAGAAGAAGATATGTATATTTATGCGAGTTCTTTACAAAAACGGACGAGTGGGCTACATACACAACGGCACGGTGAAAAGTATTAATAGGTTACACAGAACACGATGAGCCCTAACGTCTCGCGAGGTATACCTTCAAGTAATATCGGTTAAACGACCAAAACTATTAACAAGATTTAACGACCAAAACTTAAGTGCTGCTTATCGAATGCCATGCTTTCAACCTGTGCTTTCAACTGAGCTTCTTCACCGTACGGAAAAAATATGCAGTCTTCATAATTTCACAAGGTACGAAACACGACAGGGACCGGCCGGCACATTGCGGTTTCGTTACGCGGTTTCATGGATGGAAAGATGGCTGAATAGATGAGTGGGTGGCAAGCGCGTAGAGACAATTTTTTTTTTTATTGCGGAGCATTTGATAGTCGCGCCTGGTCGCAAATCCGGCGTCGGCGTCGACATCGACACCCCACTGCGCATGCTCGCGCCTCTGTGGCAACTGTCGCTCAGGGTGGGGCGGGTGGGGGGGGGGGACACCTTTTTGATTATAAGGCGGGTAACCCTAGCAATCGTCATTCTCCGCTCTCTATGCCATGGCACACAATTCGTGGAAGGGGGCACGGGCCCGGTGAGCCGCCCCTGGCTACACCTCTGGTGGGTGAATGATGAATGGATGGATGGATGAACTGATAGATGGATGGAGCATATGAGAGGTGGAGTGGGAGGTTACGCTGTGTGCTTGTACGTGTATGTGCGCACAATGGCCTGAGGAGCGGTCTGGTTCAGTAAAACGCTTCCCCCTCCTCTTGACGTCAAGGCTTGCACATAGGCTACTGGGAAAGAGGGTACACTTGAAAGAAAGCAAGTTTACGGTTCCCAATCATTATATTAGCCAAGCTTGGTGAAATTCACAACATGATGCTCTTCACACTTTCTGCAAGATATTTACGTTGATACACGCATATAGCCTCCTGTTACGATACTTCTCGCGAAGGACATCGCGACCCGCACTCGTAAATCTTGTCGCGGGACGCCGAGTGCCTCAAGGGACGGAGAAGCAACAAAGCTGTGGCATTTTACACACAGACCGGATCCTTAATCTACCTGTCATATAAAGTATTATTGAAGCTTCCCGACAGCCGTATTCTATGGCACCCTTTAATAAAAAAGATTGCGCGAATAAAGTAAAGACGATACGTCCTTGCGTTTGGCCAAAGTCTTTAAGTGTGCTCTCCGTTCAGCACGCCCTTCTAACTTTCAAAATCAAAAAACGAACAGGAAGGAGGAAACCGTTTTGGAAGAATGGGTCCTATAATCACAGCCGGCATCATGGCGAGCCTGTGATTCAGAAGGCCGCTCGCTCACTGCGCGCTCGTGCTGTCATTGTCCCAAAACGGAGGCCTTCGAGAAGGCGTGCTTGGATTAAGAAATCGCCGAGTACAGTAACTGTACCTGTTTTTCCTACTTTAGACAGAACAGTCAGCACGTTGCCCCGCCGCGGTGGTCTAGTGGCTAAGGTACTCGGCTGCTGACCCGCAGGTCGCGGGATCGAATCCCGGCTGCGGCGGCTGCATTTCCGATGGAGGTGGAAATGTTGTAGGCCCGTGTGCTCAGATTTGGCTGTACGTTAAAGAACCCCAGGTGGTCGAAATTTCCGGAGCCCTCCACTACGGCGTCTCTCATAATCATATGACGTGGTTTTGGGACGTTAAACCCCACAAATCAAATCAACAGTTTGTTGGTGTGTTACCAAAGTTGCAGGCTGCAAATAAGTTACCTGCGAATATAGACCACTTGGCCAGGCTTGTGAACTTGTGCATTGCACAATGAATTCGGGCTGCAGGTGAGAGAGCTATGCATACATAGAAAAAAGCTATGCATACATAGAAAGCTATGCATACAAAGAAAAAAATAGCCACTTGAAATGCATTTCAAGTGGCTATTTTTTTTCTATGTATGCATAGCTTTTTTGACAATAACAACAACAATAACAACAACGACAACAACAACTACTATACTACTACTACTACTACAAATACAGTTATTATTATTATTATTATTATTATTATTATTATTATTATTATTATTATTATTATTATTATTATTATTATTATTATTATTATTATTATTATTATTATTATTATTATTATTATTATTATTGCGGGGTTTACCTTAACCACGATGATTATGAGGTACGCCGTAGTCGAGGGCTCTGGAAGTTTCGACCATCTGGTGGGTGTTTTTTTATGTGCACAGATATTGTGCAGTGCAAGGACATTTACCATTTCGCCTTATTTCGTCTAAACGCGACCGTTATGGCCATGACGAACAGAGACAGTGGCTTCAAGACAGTGGCCACGCGAGCTCCATCACCCCTGCGCCTCCGAGACAGACATAACTGCTAATGCTGTCACAACATTGTGCGCTGATTTAAATTGCACACCAGTTAAAGGAACTGGATGGCACTCTCAGATGAATTGTTGCTTTTTTTTAATGTGATAGTGTTCTTTTAGCTCATTTAGGACAAGTTTTGGTGTCACCGCTGTTGATTGTAAGCGAAAGATCAGCGTTGTCGGTGGTGGAGACATCGAGAAAAGTGCAAATAAAATAAATTTACAAACTGTTCGGTTCGATTGAGTATTGAACTCGGGACTTCTGCGTGACAAGATGTTCGACCACAGAGCCACGCCATTTCGTGAAACTACTTCAGAAAAAAGAAAAAAACGCAATGAACGCCATGTGCGAGAGAAGCGTTTAGATAGCGCCAGGCGTCGAAAAATGGGAATCGTCCAGCGAGAAGGTGTTTTCAGGCCCAGCGATTACAAAGCGCTAATTCATCTTAAATCATCAGCAAAAGCGTCAACAAAGAGAACAGCTGCGCAAGTTGACGCGTTGCCTGGCGGATGCGTAGTGAGTACTTCACTAATTCACGAAAGGAAGAATTCTTCTATAATAAGCACACCACAACCGTACTTGCAGTAGACATTCCAGGATAGTCTGAAACGGCCAATGTTATGCGCACAAACGATGCTTTCCTTGAGGCATTGTTGAGGCATCCACTGAGGACCGAAACAAAGTTTGCAACTGAGAAGGCGATGCCCATGGGGCCCGACTGTGCTATCGCGTTCTGCTCCTGAAGACGACGGTCTATATATAGTGTCCTCCAGGTTTTCTTTTCGCACAGAGTCGCGGTAGCAAAGAGCTAAAATGTTGTTTAAATTGACTTGACACCTTTCCTTGAGAGGCGTCGGAACACATCATCATGCACCTAGAGATTAACCTATCGGACAGGACACAGAAAATTAATTTTCTTTCCTTTTCCCCCCAGACCATGTTCGAAAAATACAATGACACACATATATTGCATGTATAATAGCAAGGACAGTAACTTCTGTCACATATGTCTGCAATTTACGTTCTTATCTAAGTCCCAAGCAGCGACTCCAAATCAATACATCGCTCATCTGTGTTGTCCAGAATAGATAAATATATGCCTCGAAGACAGTAAATGAGACCTTCGATAAGAGTATCTGTGGGTCTTAGTACGAAGTGAATGAACTCTGCTGTAGTGATGACAAAATTAACATATCTTCATTATTTATGTTATGGTGGCGGACGAGTCATTGCACACCCGAGCTCATCATCAAATACGCACAGCATTTTTTTTTTAAGTATCGACGCAGGAATACTACAAGTACTGCAGTTTAGGACTGGAAGCACTGTGGCCGCAATCTATTTTTTAAAGATGGAAATTCAATTGACTCTACCGGTCATTCATTCATCGCTACATTGATTTTTGTCTTACAATCCACGTGTCCTTTTTTTCTCTCACTTGCAGCCCGAATTCATTGTGCAATGCACACGTTCACAAGCCTGGCCAACTGGTTTACATTCGCAGGTAACTTATTTGCAGCCTGCAACTTTGGTAACACACAAACAAATTGCACTGCAGTAAAATATCTAGCACCGCCGCGGTGGTCTTGTGGCTAAGGTACTCGGCTACTGACCCACAAGTTGAGGGCTAGAATCTCGGCTGCGCCGGCTGCATTTCCGATGGAGGTGGAAATGTTGTAGGCCCGTGTGCTCAGATTTGGGAGCACGTTAAAGAATACCAAGTGGTCGAAATTTCCGGAGCCCTCCACTACAGCGTCTCTCATAATCATATGGTGGTTTTGGTACGTTAAACCACAAATACCAATCAATCAATCAATCAATCAATCAGTAAAATATCTATACGCGTACTGCACAAGCGTTTGATAATGTTTCGTAAGGATTGTCATTGTGCCTTTCATTCAATATTTTAAACGGCTACTCCTTCTCGTAGTGATCTCAATAGCATCAGAGGACAAAAATTTTACTAAATATGATTATATTTAAAATGCAGCCCACTCGCGAAAATTTCGTGGCATCGGGTGTATCCGTTCATTACCCTCTAAGATCGCTTGAAGCCACTTGAAGAAAATGGAGCCAAATTACGTCATTGGCATGTTGAATGAACAAGGCTGTATAGATGCACCGGCGACGCATGCCAACACGAGTTCCGTGTATACTTCGCTCTGGTTTCTTTCAACGAAGTTCCATGTGCGTGTATACGTGTGAGAAGTAGCTCACTTAGAAAGAAAAGGTTGAGTCTAGTGGAGCAAGCTGTAAAATAGGCGAGCCACGGAAATCATTCCGCAGTGCAACGACCGTCACCACACGTCGCCCACACAGATGACGTACGACTACACCTGTGGATTGAGGCAACCCCTTTACCTTTTATTCGGTCAGTTAGATCGACAACGGTTCGCACAAAATGTAGTACCTTGCGCAAACGGTCCTACTAACACTTATTCGCGTTTCACGACGCCTCCAGCAATGCCATCTCGCGTGCGTGTGCACGCCATGGATGTCTGGACAGTTCCTTCCTTCCAATCCTTCCCTCATCTTCGGGGACGATGTCCTTTCGCTCTCGTGCGCACGTGAGTGTACGCACACTGGTGGAACCATGCACGCTCAGAACCTTTCCACTTTTATTTTTTTTTTCAATCTACCCGCTACACTCGCATGGAGGAAGTGCCTACTCACAATCCGCGTCGTCGCGACCTTTTATGCGCCATGCTTGCAGCTAAGTCGGTCCCGCTCGGACGACTCCGGCCGCCATTCGGTCCGAGCTCCGTGTATATACGCGGGTGATCGCGTGATTCGACATGTTTATAGTCGGTGTGCGACTCGGGGAAGCGTGCGCGTTGCGTATCGGGGTCCTGGCCGGCACTCTCCCGTTTTTCTCGGTTCGCGCCGTTTTGGTCATTTGGGACGCGCTCGTATAAAAGCGACTGCCCCGCGAGACACCACGAAGCGATTCCGTTTTCGGACGCGCACCCGTCAGACTTGCAGCACAGAGCCCAGCGAGAGCCGGTGGTTGGGGACAACGCGTATGGACCGTCTCCTGTCGCCACCCGGTCGGGGTGAGGCGTTCTACGTTCCTTACGCGGCCTTGCTTGCGCGTGACGTCAACCGCTGTAGTGGCCTAATGGTGTGTGTGTGAGTGATTTCAAATGAAAAGCAGAGAAAAGTGAGCCCCGTAACTGTCTCTCAGGGAGAGGACACCTCAACTGTAGCTCACGAGGGGTGGGTGTAAAGGAGGGATTAAAAGGATAGGATTAAAAGGTAAAGAGATAGAGAGGAATTAGAGAGCGAGGCGCAGGGACAGCGAACGACAGAAAACGACGGAAGTGAAGAGGAGATAGGAAAGATAAAAACAGTCGCAGGAGTCCGGGGACGGGTCACCACTCGGCGAGAGCTCTTGTCAGCGTCAGGAGATGGCGTAGGGAGAGCCCAAGTCGGCCAGAGCTGCACTGTCGTCGGAGATCGCGGGGGCCCAACCGGTCGGCACGAAATCCAGAGAGTGAGTCGCCTAATGGTTACAGTGCTCGACTTGATAACATTAACTTAGAATCACAAACGCTGCCATGGCGGTAGTCAGTGCAATCCATCTTATGGAGGATTTTACGTCGTCATCATTTGACCTTGGGTGAATGTTTTCTTATATCGCAACATGGATTGATAAGGTCAGGAAACGTCTATTGCATTAGCCCTACCGTTGTCGCGTGTATAGGTTCACCATAGCATGGTTCGTTTACCTCATGATTCAAGGCAGCGAGATTAACAGAACAATATAGCGGCACTGAAAACAGTCCATAAAATAGTGTATAAACTTGATATTCCGGGTGTTCTGGATCACGCGATATTCCAGATCACACAGCCACCAGAGTCAATTAATATCCTTTCACAGTCCTTCAAAAAATTAATTTTATAGTTATCTAGATGAGTAAAGGACGGTCGTCTTTCCAAGGTCAGATTAAAGGGCCGTACTTCTGACGTTACCTACAATGTTTTTTTTTTTTTAGTGTTCGACTTGATTAAACACGCATGCGTAAGAAAAACATCACGTGACAATAGGATGCTCTTCAATTATTTATCCATGGTCACTTTTACTATGCTAGCGTCAAGGCACCTATTCGCAAGTTATTCCATCACAACCTGGCTATTTTGTTCCTTAATTTACTAAGAAAATACCTACTTCACGAGTTCATTCATGTAGGCAGGCGTGTAAACAAGTAGACGAATTCTGTGCATAAGAACTTCGGCTTACCAAAAGTGAGCAGCAGTTATGAAAAAACGATTCTTACATTTTAGCCATCATGATGTGGGACACTTTTCTATTAACAAATCGAAAATGAAGCCCTCATTTAATGTATTCAAAGCTGCCCTTAACACATTTATTCTGCGTAGTAAAATGGTGTTGTAACCTTTGAAATTATTCTTGTTATCCCAGGGCTCTTTCTGTTTGAAGTTTGACCTAAGTAAAAATTGAGCCCCACGCTTCCCGTTTTTGCGACGAAAGGAAACGGCGCATTCTCTTATCATCTCTTTCCTAGCATTACGTATGTGCGAACCTGTTTTGCAGTGCTGATAAGATAGCTCTAATCAAAATGCCACCAAAACTTGCTATAGTCATCAATGCTCGTAATGACAAACGATACCTGTGTCACACGGTGTGCTGCTCACCGCGACCACCGCCCCCGATCGCGATCGAATTCCCCAACAGTCGTTAGATCCCTTCTACAGCTTTCGTTATAGGGAAGTGCATCATGCATAATAAATTAGATCCCTGTAAGGACCGATCCTGATCCAATGTAACCGCGTGATACCGTTATAAAATGATGTTGCCATCAAGCACGTTTCAGGTTTCTTCACGACGTATGTGTAGCTGCGTGTATTTAAACGACTAGGACTGCGCAGTGAAAAGCAATATATATATATATATATATATATATATATATATATATATATATATATATATATATATATATATATATATATATATATATATATATATATATATATATATATATATATATATATATATATATATATATATATATATATATATGAGATATAACAGACAGTAATGCCAAGGAATGTACAGGGGAAGTTATTAGAACCAATGGAATGTAAATAAGAAGAAAGAAGAAAGAAAAGTGGATGAAAAATTACCAACTGTGAGCAGGAATCGAACCTACGATCTTCGAATTACGCAGATAAACCCAAAAAAGTGGATGGAGGGAGGGCCGCTGTGATAGCTCAGTGGTTAGACCATCGAACGCGTAATTCGAAGATCGTAGGTTCGATTCCTGCTCACAGTTGGTAATTTTTTCATCCACTTTTCTTTCTTCTTTCTTCCTATTTACATTCCATTGGTTCTAATAACTTCCCCTGTACATTCCTTGGCATTACTGTCTGTTATATCTCATTAGTATTGTGTTAAAACACGGAAAAACGAGCCCTTAGGTATACACTTCTTTCCATCATATATATATATATATATATATATATATATATATATATATATATATATATATATATATATATATATATATATATATATATATATAAACAATGAAGTGCTAACATAGGACCCGGAAGTAAAAGTTCAAAAAAATCAAGCACGTAGGAAAAATTGTTTTGTAAAGGACTGACGTTTCGGCCGCGGGACCGGCCTTCGTAGGAGTGATGTGAACATGCGACGGTAACGCAATATAACCAGTAACGTATCATAGCGCTGTTAATGGCTGACAAGCGGTTGTTAAAAGCACGTGGGAAACAGTGCGCGTGATAAGACAAGAAAAAAAAATGAGATTACAAGCGTGCGAAGACGAAACGAATAAAAAAATCATTAACAATGAGTAAAAAATTATGAAGCCACATAACGTGTGTATCACTGGCACAAACATCAATACACGTCATAGGTACAACTGCGAGCAAGTTATCGATAAACATAAACGCGGGTATAACATCTTGTCATGATCCGACAACAAAGCTGAAACAGGGAACTAATCTATCTGCGTGAAAGCATAGCGGCAATAATAGCGGTGGTAGTCAAGGGTGTTTAGGAAGCTTCCTAAACAAACAAAAAATTTCACGCACCTGCAAGCTTCGCTGCATAGCAACCAAGCATTGCGGCAGAGTACAAAAAAAAAACTGTCATCGTTAAGGGATGTGGCGCCACCGAGTGTGTTTTACAGAAACTAGGACGCTCGCCTGTCTGGAGTGCCAGATGGCGCGCATACAGGCCGTTATAGGGCATGGCCACAGAATACCTATATACTACCATGGCTTGGTTTCGGAGACTGTCGACCCTCGCACCGTAGCACGACGTCACTGGCTTTGCACGAAGTTAGCGCTCCGTTTATGAGGGTCTGCGAAACAAGCAGGGACTGCAGAACTGCTTCACTCTGGATGAATTGTGACCACGTGAGGCAGCTGTACTTGTTAATCCCTAAACCTACACCTAGATACGCGCATACAAAGAAAAAAAAATTGGCAGATTCCTCTTACAAGGAATAGATGTTACTGCGAATCATGCGGAGGGAAGGTGACCGTGTTGCAATTTTTTTATTGAGCGACACGCCATGAAATGACGATAAATATATGTACAAATGTTGTTCAGATATAAGTTGAAGAGTTGCAGATGTTTATATAATTAGTAGTTTGCCCATGCGCAACCATGTCGAACTGGAACTTGCGTATTAGCAAAACCAGAAGCTGATATGAAGCTCTGGTGCTTCCAAGGATGCTGGCCCTGAATACTGCTACATAAATCAACTTCAGCGCATGGCAACTAACCACAGTTGACGTTAACTCGACGTGACGGCTGTATCAAAAGAGTACATATGTAATGTTTATAAAGTTGGAAAGGCAGAACTGCAACCACTATTGACGTTTCACGATGATTAGCGTCTATTTCAAAAGTAGTTCCGAGACCTGGCATAGCTTTATGGAAAAATGCTTCATTTCCGCGCAGAATGTTTGGGTTCTATTCCAGCTGGGACCCTGACATTTATTCTTTGCATTCGTCGGGTCGACGCTACCAATGTCGGGTATTTCTTAACGGCGTTAAAATTGGCCACGTGTGTTCTCGTCATTCCTAGGTAAATGCCAAGTGTCAATCACCTGTGGCACATACCCGGCCGTGGGTTTGGGCCACTGCCTGGCGGGAAGTCTTTGACGACGTACGCGACGGGATTGTGACATTATTCATTCAGTCTTGACTAGCGCATCATATTCGTCAAACCATCTTACCCTCCCATGCTAATTTTGGTTCTGGTCAAGTTATTGGGGTGACCACGAGAGCACCCAAATGTAAGCGGATAGATAGATAGATAGATAGATAGATAGATAGATAGATAGATAGATAGATAGATAGATAGATAGATAGATAGATAGATAGATAGATAGATAATAGATAGATAGATAGATAGATAGATAGATAGATAGATAGATAGATAGATAGATAGATAGATAGATAGATAGAAGATAGCTAGATAGATAGATAGATAGATAGATAGATAGATAGATAGATAGATAGATAGATAGATAGATAGATAGATAGATAGATAGATAGATAGATAGATAGATAGATAGATAGATAGATAGATAGATAGATAGATAGATAGATAGATAGATAGATAGATAGATAGATAGATAGATAGATAGATAGATAGATAGATAGATAGCTAGATAGATAGATAGATAGATAGATAGATAGATAGATAGATAGATAGATAGATAGATACGCTCAAAGTCACCAAAGTTCGCTAATAAATGCTTCGCCTTTAAACAAGAGCGGCGAGGTAAACACCGTTCTATGGTTACCGCTGCGCAAATCGAGGAACAATTTGTATAATGTGCTCCACCAAATTGTATTTCGTACATTTCCGTAACGCAAAGTGTGTTTGCGTGTTGAAGACAGTTATTTTACCGTACGGATCTATCCGTGTCTCTGCTATTGAATGAAACTTTAATGCCTGATACCTATAAAAAATATTTCCGCCACAAACATTCAACTATTGCTGTGTACTAAAATGAGCGTCGACACAAGTACAGCAAAACAAGCTAAAAGCAAACTCCAGCTGAAGAGCATATATTGTACGTTAGGCTAGCGTGCTTGTGTAACTAGAGAGTGTACATCCCCACCAATTTGTGGATGGAGCTTGCTCTAAAATATTGAACTGCCACAGAGTAGTTTTTTTACAAGCACACTGTTGCGTACTTGGGGTTGCAACATATTTATTTATTTATTTATTTATTTATTTATTTATTTATTTATTTATTTATGTTTTTATTTATTGCGTGTTGTGATTAATATCGCAAAGTAACAACAAATCTATTGCTCATGCCGCGCTGTAGAAATCTGCATGATTTAGCCGCTTGGGGTTACTTAACGAGCACCTTTGCATCAGAAGGCAATGCAAACCTGGCGTTGCATGTTCATCTTTATTGCGGCCCGTAATAACACTCACGGTCTTGAGTGTTCATTTGCGTTCAGATAAAGTAACTTTTGCGCTCTTGGGGCAAGAAGTGGGGACGGCACCATGTCTCGATTTACTGACCTTCACGCTACAGTAGGATAAATTATCGGATAGATACTGCAATATGTTCGGCCGTACAGTGACAGAATCATGTACATAGTGTTGCAAATATTTTGTATGCATTCGTACCGTTGTGCACAAGACTTCGTTATTGCTTTTGACGCAGCGCTCTTTGTGTGGCTGCTGGCGGCGGCGACCCTGTTAGCGCCTTCGCTGCAGTCCCAAATCATCATCATACGGCGCACCGAAGAAGTGCCCGACGAGGGCTGGACCAACGGCGTCCAGCGAGGCCGACATCTACCGCCTCCGCCCCTGCCTAGACCACCGTCTTCGTGGGCGCCGGCCGGCTGGAACAACCACGGCTTTGTGGCGGCCCGCAGGGTCCATCAGCCTTGGCACGTGGGACCCGTGCTGGTGGGTGCGGGAGGCGGCATACCGGGAGGAGGGGTAGACTGGAAGCCTCTGTGGATTCCGCTGGACGGTAGGCACGGCTGGAGGCCCCAGTGGCCTCCAAAGGTGCCGTCGTCTACGCCAACGCCATCTTCACCTACACCGCCTTCATCTTCACCTACACCGCCTTCATCTTCACCTCCTCCTCCACCACCGCCACCGCCTCCGGAAGAACCCAAGCCTACAGCCGAGTCCAACCAACAGGAACCACCAGCCAAGCAGGCTGTGTCAACTGAAAGCCCTGGTGATTCCGGTAAAATCAAGGAACCATAGCCAACACGCGTTCCCGGCGAAAGACTTGGGCAGCTCAGCTGCTGATGTGAAATAGCGGCACCGTCTCTCTCTGAGAACTGCACTGACGTGGTACCTCCAGTAGCCAAGCACATTATTGTGGTTGTTTCTCTTCAACGCAATTAAGAAGACGTATTTCTTTTTAACACTTCTCTCGCGTTTGTTTCGCGTGTGCTTGAGCAATGGCTTGAGCTACTCTATCGAGAATGCTCGAACTACGAGAGTCTGGTGATCGGTTCTGCATCCGGTTCTGGCTGTACATGTGTCACTGTAAACATATAAGGGTCATGCCAAACACAATTCTGCGCCTGCGCTGACATCAGGACAGTTTGTTTCCAGTCTTTTTTTTTGTGTGTGTGTGTGATCACCGTTTAAGTATACTGGAGAGATTGATCAGATTAGTAAGCTCACCGTGGACACATTCATAATTTCAATCTGATACCACACTATTTCTTCTCTTGCACGACTAGTCAGTTCTCCAGTGTCGCTTATATACACCGCACGCACGTATTACACCTCGAGAAAGTTGCACATACATCTCTACCCGCGAACATTTAGTGCATAGCTCATATTTGTAACCCTCGTGCTGGGTGCTGTCATTTCTGTCATTCTCAATTACCCTAACCATCTAGTACCCACTAAAGAAACAAAATCAATTAATCAGTTCATTAAAAGATCACTAAAGGAGCATTTCTGTTATTAACTATTCGACAACTATGGATGTTATATTTATACAAATAAGAAGACTACGTTTTCACACATTCGTTCTAAGATGGCCGATGATATATTTGTGATATAAGTGGTGTTTATTGTCAATACCACCATATAAACAAGCTAGTCGTTGAAAATTAAGTCTTTCATGTGTGTTTCTCTTTTAATGATGCCAGCTCTTGTATTGTACGCTGTAGACACCCATGTTGTCATCAGTTGAATTGTTTTTCAATTATTTGCATAATCTTTCACATTCATGTACATAAGAGTTGAGAAAAATCTTTACTTCCAATTCAAGCGCCACTTGTCTCATGCGAAGACGTATCTTTTGTGAGACATACCACATATACAGTTTTGTTCCAAATCCAACATGTTTCCACCAGCTTTTTCTTTTTTGTTGTTGTTAACGTGAATTGCCGTTAAAATGCAACGTTTCATCTGGCCTAATTCCAATTTCCCAAATAATACGCGTGCACAACACAGGAAAGCCCTGAAAAGCAAGTGAAACGTACTATCGGCGTCAAATCGAACCTGAACAGTGGCAAGCCTGCGCGATGATATGGTGCTGGCCATTCACTTATCGCCATGGACAGGCACGCATATATATGCACAGAGCTGCCGAACAGGGGAGCTATTCTCGCTATTATCCAATTTGACGAAGTGTGTTCAGTTAGGGGAAAAAAACAGCGAGTCGTGACGTCATGGCGCGCTTGACCACGTTGGTGTACCGAACCTGTTAGTACATTCCCAGCGTAAAAAAAAACTAAATGAATGAAATGCAGAGTAACGGAATTCTTAAACAAAATTGACAAGCCTGAACGCGCGTATGAACGTGTTAAGATGTTTAAGAAGCGATGCAGGGAATGAGTACGGGCCTTTCAGGGGTGTCAGGCGGGCGACCGCGTTAAACCTAATTCAAGGGCTAGCGCGATTAGAGTCCACGCACGGCCTCGAAGATGTGCGTCCAAAAGCGGACCTCCGGGGGCCGCATTCGGTTGTTGCGAAAAGCGCATTCCGTCTTTCTCATTTGTGTCGAAGAGTTGTGAAAGCTGCGTGGCGTCAAAATGACGTTGCGGAAGAAAGAACGCAAAACGACGGCGCACTGCTCGCCAGTCCCAACCAATCAGTGGAGGCCACATGTCCGCAAATTTGGCACCACGAGAATAGCTTCCCGGGATACACGCACCTGTCCGTGGTGATGGAACAGGCGCTGTTGTCGTTTCTTTTTTTGTAAAACCGATGTCGTTTTTTTTTACTTTTTTTTTCTTTTTTCTTCGCCCGTCTTCGTCTAAGGGAAAAAAAAAATCTGACTTGCGCGTTGAACTGCGTCTGCGTTCGCTACTGTACTCAACTGTCACGTTTTGATTTCTGATATTTTGTTCGTATACCTCACGAATATAACACCGCTTGTGCGTCACAATGTGATGGCAACAATAAAATAATCGGTTGCGACGAGTGTTGCGCATGCGACGTTGCAAAGTTTTCGGCTCCGAGGCCATTCGTGGCATTTTTCTTTGCATTTCACGTTTTCTATGATGCTCGAAAGACAATATCATAACGGAGGAAGGGGAGACTGGGCACGGTCATCTTCTCAAGAACAACTTCTATGTCACGCATACAAACGTCGTCCTCGTGCGGTACAGCCATGGTATCCTCCTAATGCACGCACACAAGGCACCCGCCTCATCTGCGTGGCGTGCAAGAGCCTGCACACGTTTGCCTGCATCCACAAAGCGGTGGCCCAGCTTTGGACAGCATATCAAGGCACGGACACGAGAAATCATGATGGTGGACACCGTAGTCATGCGCAGGGTTCCCTTATAGGGGGGGGGGGGGCGAAGGTTCGTTACAGTGCTTCCTTCCCTGTCGCGTCAATGCATGACCCCCCCCCCCCCCCTATACGCACGCCTATATATGGTAGACACCACTGGGTGTGTTCGTGTGTGCGTGTTTTTAATTATCTTATTGCAAGAGTGTACCTCAGAATGAACAAGTAAGCATGACGACAACGACGCGGCAACGACAATACCGCCTTCTTCAGTGTGTCGCAGTTCAGGAACGCATGCATGGACGAACGCATCAATATAATGTTTGCGAAGCTCTTAATTTCTGTTCGAGTAAACGAACTGAAATCGGGTATGGTTAAGAATAAGGAGGCAGGGTTGGCTTTTCACAAACAACAAAAAAAAAAAGCTTACGCCATAGAACTATTCGTAACACTGCAATCAATCCCAGAGCCGGGCGTATACTGTCTGGCCGATGGCAAATGATTGTACATTAAAATGTTCTGAACAAAACGGACAGCGAGTTCGAGCCCAGGAGTGGACTATATTTGGGGTGAGCTTATTCACATGCTTATTTATAACACTGGAAAACACAAATGCTTCGCTCTCATTCTATCTATAGCAGTAATCAAACACATCATAAAATATTCCACTGTGTACGAAAAAGTCGTGATCACGCGTTATCGCTGGAGCCAACTTTAGACCATAGTTTCTCAAAACGTGTTCCGCGGAATCTATAAGGATTCAGCAGGCCCTTCTACTTACTTCTGCAAGCCACTGATAAGACCGACATGGTTTCGCACTTGCTAAGTAATTTAGATGCTGACTTCGAGGTGTGATCAATCCAAGGAGCCACCATTACTCACACCCATTTGTTGGCGCGAGGATAGCGAGTTTCACGACAGTGGATGAACTTTTGTGTAGCCTAGCTTTTGAATTATTGCTCGCTAATGTCGTGTGAACCGAAAGAAAAATGCTTGCATGAAGAGAAGGGGGAGAGGGTGGGTACATTGGCCCTTAATGGAACTCAGCAAGGTTCCCTTGGTTCAGGCAATCGGACATGGCTTCTTTGAGGCTGCAACTGAAAGACAAGTCTATATAAATAAAAGATTTGGACGAAGGAAGGCAAGTCCATTTGTCGAAGCGCAGCTAGGTTTCGGCAAAGCGGTGCTCACGAATTTTTCATATCTCCATGAAACCATCTTTCCCATGGCTTCATTCGGAAGCTTCATATGTGTATACGTATACCTTAACCTGCGTTCCACGAAAAGTTATTCTGAACCGAACTGTTCGTGAGTTGGAATTAGTCAATTCTAATGCGCAGCGCATTCTAAGGCGGCCGGCTGATGACAAAGAACAATTGTAGATGCGAACCTTCATGAATTCAGCCCCTGTTTTTATCTCTTGCAGTTCGGGCGATGTGACCGCGTGTGTTGTCGGTCACTCTCGGGGGCTCTAGACTCTATTCATCTGCCGGGAATAATGCTCAAAGCGACATCTATAATTGAAAGCTACGGGCATCCTGTTAAAGATATGTCATTAAGGAGAAAAAATTTTTTTCACATGTTAGTAAATTACTTTTTTCCCGATTCCGAAATCACCACGCTTAGCGCAACAAGACGCTCGGCTAGCGAAAAAACGCGAGAAAAAAATGCAGGTGGTGACTCATTCTTGATATTCCTGCACCGAACACCATAACGTCATAAAGTTTGACAACGTCTACTAAGTTCTCATAACCGGCAAAAGTTAAGCACACTGTTCGCTGATGGGGCCATAAATTTAACATGATTTTTAAAAAAATATTGCTGAGTCAACGTCACCACATTACGAAAAAAAAATGCTTTGAAATCTGTGACGTCATTCCACCGAGGTTTAGGCGCGCAATTTAAACATAAAACTTAAGCACATTTTTTTTCTAATAATAAACCGATGGGAGAGTGATAGTAAAAAAAAGGTTAAGCACTGAGAATGCAATTAATCAATTAAATTGATTCATTGTGTAACTTTAGTGTCTCTTAAATGCGCTCTAGAACTAAATATATTAGACGCGCAACGAAGCAGAAAGCGCATAAAAGCGTTACATCTCCTTCTGTTGTCTTTATTAATCAAGGCGTATTATCGACGAAAATCAAAGAAAGCGTACCAACGAGGAAATTAAGCCTACGCTAGCTTGTAAAATCCACACCTAACAAAGAGAAATGCTCGTTCTCTAATCGAACAGCTCACCGCGGAGCCACGCCGGGCGGATGTATACACGTATTTATAGCCTTGCCAACGTTCGAGTTTACTGCTTTTTCCCCACTAATGCAGCTGACATCCTTAACCCGTACAGAATGCATTCTCACAAAGGAAAGCCAACGCACAGCGGGTGTGTCGCTTCTCTAGAGGTCGTAAGGGGTTGGGGTTTACGGCCGCGATAAAAGTGTCTCAAAATAAAGAGATATAAGCATCGTGACGGTCGCGGTTTCCTTCGCCGTAATCGTCTTC